AGCATCAGAGAAGACAATACTTTGAATCAACTCACTGAAATCAGTGTTTGTTTCCTTTGCCTATAGATTACGAAAATAACCATACAGGTTTCACGATAATTTCGTTTTGACCATGAAATATTATGGCTTTGTGTAAGGAGTTGACAGCTGCATACTCAGTTTACGTGGAATCGTGGTTGCGGTAGATTAGAAGCAAAGCAGATAGATACAACATGGTTGTGTAAATACAACCTTGTAAAGAGACACTAACTTCTAAAACATACGTCCAGTATAAAATGCCATCTAACAAAGCCGAAGTTAATGTTGACATTTTTGTGGAAAAATTTAAACTAGATTCACTTTATATTAGCAAAATTAATTCAGGGGAAATTAAGAGGATTTGATTGACAATGCCTTTCACGAATTGTCATTGATGACACTGAAATCTACTGTGTATGTTATCAATGGAAATTTGTACTTAGACCTGATAAACTAATCCCATTCTCATTAGGCTTTAATTTTCAACTAGTTTCAACTGGTTATTTGGAAACTGTCAACAAACCAGGTCAGATTTTGCAAGTCGTTCGACAAACTACTGAAAAGTGTTTAAGTAGTATACAATATATCATGAAAATATAATATACCAGAGAGTGGCCAGAAGTCCAGTTATTTGCGAAACTCTTTATGATTCTAAGTAGAAAGACTTTGGCTTTGGTTAGATAATAAAATTATTTTACATAAAAATACTCAATAAAGATACTGTATTCCATTAGCAGTTAATAGTGCTGTAACTATTGCCTGTATTTATTCAAGCTTTTTGGTATAATACCATTATAACTACCTGCCAGAATTTAGGCCTATGAACAGTAGATCTACTTGAGCTTCATAATCAGTGTTTTCAGAATAGGTTTATGACCTTTCAATTCATTCTCAGTAATATTCATCTGAGAAGTAATTTCAAATTCGAAAATATGGTGTGGCTTCCAACGCATATGAAGACCAATCACAAGGATCAACTAGTTGCTGTCTCCCAGATGTACTACTTTAACATAAAAGTAGTATTGTTCTCATCACCTATTTTTGAAGTCTGAGTATGTGCTTCTGTAGGTGCTACTTCAGTAATGAAGGTTAACCTAATCTCTAAACTTAAAGTTATACTTTCTTAACTTCTATGAATTATTCTGAATTAAATATTAATTTTTTTTCTACTTTGCTTGACTTAACGTAAAGGAACTTATCAAGTATTGGTGTGTAGGGATTTTGTTGGATTGTTAACAGGATTGGATCATGAGCTGACATCAATTAAAAAACCACTGGAAAACCTAGGAGTACTGGACAACCGTTTCGTCCTAGTTTGGGACTCTTCACAGTGCGCACCCACCGGGGTTCGAACCCAGGACCTTCTGGTTACAAGGAGAGCTCGTAGACCATTAAGCCACTGGCTGGGTGAGTACTGATTAAGAGTCCTAAACTAGGACGGAACAGCTGTTCATATGGGAGACTGTTAATGGTATTGGTAACACTGATTCAGTTTTTTGTAGGAAGGTAAATTTACCCAATATTTTGCCTAGAACTTACAGATAAGTTCTAACAAGCAGAAAATCAAGAGCCAAGGCCTCATGATAACCAACTCTTGATGCCATGAACATAATAAATCGTGCAAATAATCTAGATGGATATTAGTTTTACTTTTCCCTGAACAATTTAACATTGGCAATGGGATTTCCCTTAGCTTATTTTCTAATCTGTGATATACAAAATGAATAGTCAGTTATACTTAGAAAAAAGTCAAATGGAGGAATATCGTGTAAATTAAGATGTGGATGATGACATAGGAACATTGTTATCTTAGTTACAATGTCAGTCATGATGATCCTCTAAGATGAAAGTGTCTGGATTGATAAATCTAACTCTTTCAAAAGTTTTGGTATTGATTTCCGAATTTATAAATCAGAATAGTTCATTGTAGTATATTCTGTGAAGCTTTAGAGGTGAATTCATTAATTTTACAGGAGTTACTTGTTTGAATAAGTTTGACTAACTACTGAAATTTAGTTAATCTTTATCAAGTTTAAAGTTTCATACGTGATGATAGTTATACGACACGTACACTAATAGGATGCAGAGAATTCATGGAATGTCCTGTGACTTAAGAAATAACACGATAAGCCAAGGTGATTTTAGTGAATGACTTATTCAGACAATATAACTTTGAGACTTTTGTCTTTTTCAATGATAATCATTTTTGTCTAACCAAGTTATAACATAATCTATCCGAAATTAAGTAATTTTGCTGTTTCAAAACAAATTCATGAAACTGATACTTCTTGGTTCAAACTGGCACGGGATTTTAGACGGTCAGTGCTGAAGCCCTACACTAGAAGAACTTCGTTATCCAGTGATTATTATTTCTTGTAGTTTTCTGATGTCAGTTCCACTTATCGGTATAGTTGAACACTCCAAAGGTAGCGTCATTTACCATTCCTGATAGTATTGCTGAGATATTTCTATTATTAGATTGTCTGATTTGTTGGAATTTAATTTATCACAAGGCGGGATTATCCCATAAGTGATTTCAGTTATAGAATCACGGACCGCGCAGTTGGTCCGGGGATCGATCCCCAGCCGACGCACTCCTTTGCCTCTGTAAGTCAGCAGTAAGACTGGTAAAGGGGGAAGGCTAAACATGATGCTAGCAACCGCATCACCACTGCTACAGAAACCTCAAGCCTCTAGCTTGAAGCCCTATGTTCCACTGGGAAGGTAAAGGAATTAAAAAAATTTATTCTGTAAAGGAAAAGCTAAACTAATGTGATATGTTATGAATTTTAGACCAGAGACATTAATTAGGCTTAATTTTGACTTTCAAAGGTTCGAGTAACGTGGAAAAAGTTACTAACCCAACCTTTGTCAACTGGACAAACATGAAAAGTGTACAATACTGAGAATGCAGTTGTTATCGAAGTTGTAGAATGTTAATCAATAAAATATTTTCATAGTTCATTTCTGATTAGAAGCACAAATACACTTTGAAAAAGTGTCTTATTTTAAATATGGTCTGATGATATCCAATTTATAGATAGTACATGACAAAACGGTTACTTAACACATTGGCTGAAAATTGCACTTCAACACTGAACGACAAAACTTTGAGGCTCAGAAGAAATAACAATACCTTTTACATTCCAGTTATGTCTTGCTGATGAGTCTCAGTAAATAGACAGTCTAGTCCTTGAACTTTCTACTTTCCTAGTTCTCTGGTAGTTTATACAAAAAGCAAAGTGGTATCATTCAGAGTGTTGATCATATTGAACATTTGACTGTATTTCAGTTTTTACCATCAAATAGTTATGGATGGAGGAGTTCATCATGAGCTGACATCAGTTAGAGAATCACTGGAAAACCAACTGGGAGTACTGGACAGCCGTTTCGTCCTGGTTTGGGACTCTTCACAGCACCCATCAGGGTTCGAACCCAGGATCTTCTGGTTACAAGGCGAGCTTGTAGACCATTGAGCCACTGGGACCCGATCCAATGGCCCATGAATTCTAACTTTTGCCAATTCATGACATAGCGCGACCATTTCGCAATGTCTTCTTCGATGAGTTACTGCCTCATCTTCAACCTGCTGTAGCCCACTGGCCACGGCTTTTCACTAGAACCCCAGGCTTACTGAAATACTATAAAGCTGAGGAGTTAATCACTTTTCTGAACTTTTGAATCGAGTAATATCATGTATGCTGGTACATCCAGTTGACGATTCCCGAATAGGACGGTATGCGCATCCTGGATTCCACTGCTAGACATCATCCACAAATTAACTTCTAATTGTGTGTGTGTGTGTGTGGTTTACATTTTTTATAAACACAGTATTCAGATTATTTTTCACTGATTATTATACTGCCCCAACTGTAATTTTATTTCAATAGATAGAGGTATTCAGAAAGAAGCCCTGGTCCAGGTTTCGTGTTTACTAGAAGTCATCAACAAGGAGTACCTACTACCTCGAAGGAATTGATATCCTTTCTTGGATTCCATCCCTTGTCATTCACTGACAGAGTTAGAGGTACTACCACTCAGATATTGGGATAGACATTTACCTCCTGCAGAATTGGGTTGTGTGTATTGAATATTGGTTAGGGAGTAACTAATACCACGCTTTCTGATGATGGGTGGTTTAAATGGGTCTACATTCATTCGCAAAGTATTTTGTGTCGTTAAAAACAATCGACCCTAAGGATAAATATAAACTGCTTACACATAAATCCAGACTAGGATAAATCTGAGGGCTAAATCGTCAGTTTGATTTCTAGGGTTAAAGTTATGATGAAACCTGACCACAGGATATTTCATTGATGTTTTTATATCCTCAGGGAATGTACCAAAAATGTGAACGATTTATGCAGATGATGACCAAAACGTACCAGTGTAAAATTTGACAAAGTAATCCATAGCTAAAAGACATAGGGCGACTGGCCCTATTCAGGTAGGTAGTTACCTGGAGTTCCAGTGGGAAGTCGTGACCAGTAGGGTGCAGCAGGTCGGGTGTGAGGACAAATACTCGCCAAAGACATTGGCTAGCGGTTGCGCTATGTCGTGAATTGGCAGAAGTTAGAATTCATGGGCCATTGGATCGAGTCCCAGTGGCTTAATGGTCTACGACCTCGCCTTGTAACCAGAAGGTCCTGGGTTCGAACCCCGGTGGATACGCACTGATGAAGAGTCCTGAAATAGGACGAAACAGCTGTCCAGTACTCCCAGGTTTTCCAATGGTTCTCTAACCAATGTCAGCTCATGATGAAACCCTGTAACCAATTAATTTTACATGAAATTTATAGATATATTGCACCACCCATTATTTAAAGAAAATATTTTCGTATTAAATTGTTTTTATCTGAAAAGTATTCATCAAAGTATGGCTAACTAAGTTGTACCATAATATGTTAACCAATCAAGTTGAAATAGACCCTGTGTTTTATAAATTTTATAATGGACTATGTCTTGTTTTCTGCTTTCTTTAGGACCACTTCCGACAGATCCAGATCCAAACTTTCCATTTCGTAGTCATTTTGAGAAAAGTGTTTTACCAAATCCTAAAAAAGCGTTACAGCGTATTATCCGTGGTGAAACTAAAGCAGAACGTCGTCAAAGAAAGGAACAACAAGAGTTAAATCGTTTATTAAAAGGTGCTAGTGATCGAACTGAACTACCAGTTAAATTTGAATCATCTCATTCAAAAGACTGGCAAGAATTTCAAGAACTTACTGCTAGAATCCAAAGTACTGTTGAAGAGTCAACAAGTAAAATAAAAGCTCTATCATCATTATACCCTGTTGAGGATAATTCGTCCACAGAACAGGCAGCAGCTGGTATAAATCCTGAATCACAGACAACTGAGAACTGGGCAGCTTTTGATAACACAAAATCTACTGAAGACAATTGGGCAGACTTTAATCAGCCGATTATCACAACAGATATCTGTGCTGAATTCCCTACTACAGAAACTGACGATAATTGGGCTAAATTTGATACAGTAAAAGACGTAAATCAAGACGAAAGTAATTTATCTAATTGGGCTGATTTTGAGAACCCAAAAACTGCTGATCAGCTTTTTGATTTGAATCAAACTGAACAAGAAAATAACTGGGCTGCTTTCGATCAGGTGGAAGCTACTCAATTAGTTGATCCGAAAGTAGCTGACGATTTCAGTGAAAACTGGGCAGATTTTGACGCACTACGATCCAGTGATAAAGATCACTCTGGTACATCGACTGCTGACGAGAACTGGGCAAATTTCAACTTAGTTGAAACCAACGGTAGTTTACCTTGTACTCAGACAAGTATTTTCAACGAGAACACAGCCGGCCATTCAGAATCGAAAGATATACTTAATCTTTTCAATAGCTGTGAACAGTCAGACGCTGTCTCTGAGGACGTTTCTAGATATAGTCAGGAAAAAACATTTGAAGGCATAGATCATAGTGAACGCCAAGATAGTTTTGAAGATTTATTTGCAACACGGATTGTAAAGGAACACTCTGATCTTGTTCAAACAGACAGTGAAAATCTTCAGGAATTAAAACATCCACAGACTGATCAGAATCGATTTGAGTTAAATAACACTGACAGTTTCGACCAGCAGATAGGCTTTACTCAGTCAGACGCTCCAAAAATAACTCTAATTTAGGGGCGATTGGAGACGTGCCTGACGGTTATAACTTCAAGGAGACTGAAGATCTTTTTGCTACTGAACAACCAGAAGTTAGCGTCAATTCAGGCAGTAATCATTACTCAGTCGCTGTGGATAACTTACTTAGTTTCAGTCAGACAGAATTACCTGAAAATAAAGTAGAGTTTAATCAGACAGATAAGTCTGATACAACTGAAAGTCCTAGTGAGTTTCATTCCACGCCTACCAACATTTTAGGAGATCTAAACCAGTTGGAATCTAGTGACAATTATTTTGTAGTTGATCGTTCAGGAACTACTGAGAACCTCTTCGGTTGTGATTATCCCTCACCCTCCTCTGATAACAATATTGAAAACATTATTAATTCAAGTCATATACAACATACTAACATTCAGGATACTGACAGTAATTTCCAACCTATTAATAATTCACAAAATCTCGTAGAACAGGATTCTTCTCAATCAAACAGTCTCTTACCAACAAATTTCAGGCAGCTTAATAGCGAAGAAGAATATACTAGTTATACAAATTTCAGTAATCAAAATACTTCAACGTTAAATTTCACAAGTATGGAGTTTGACAAAGTGAACAAATCAGATGACATAGGTGATGATAAAGTAATTCTGTCTAATCCTCTAATGGAGACGCCAATGAATGACATCACTATTGACCCTGATATGCATGTACAATATGAACAGAATGATGATTTCGATGTAAATATTACAGGTCATTCAAGTTCAGATACATCCTCCTATGATGGTCAAGTGCATACAGATGTAGGCGAAAATGAAGAGGAATTAAAAGAAGAAACAGGGATACATCTTGGTGGAATAGATGAAACTGGTTCAGAATATCACCAAAATTATGATAATTTGGATTTCGCTACTGCTGTTACTGCCTCTGGTGGTTATGACTATGATAATGATGTTTCAGACACTGGAGATAATGATCATACAGTACCCTCCACTGAGAAACAAAAACAACAACAAAACACAGAAGAAAACAATCCATTTACTGATGATGCCTTTCAAGATTTCTCAATGGTCAAATCAACAACAGCTGATAGTAATAAGCCTTATCTAAATGAACGTAAAATAAGTATAGATGATTTGAAAACTATCGTTAGACCACGTGTTAAACCAGTTAGACAGGAAACTTTGTCAGGTAATAATCCATTTCGTAAACGGTCAGGTGTTGATGAACCAAATGTAATCAGTACTACTGTTACTACGGTTACCGATGATACAGATATGCCTACAGATGAACTAACACGTGTGGCAGCTGGAATAAAGTTGATTAGTCCACAGAATAAAATCAGCAGAATGAAAGATAGTTTCGATAGTAATAATAGTGCAGAAGATGAGGAGACAAGAGATGTACTACAAAATGTTGAAGTTCTTCAAACTATTGAAAATATAAATGTGGATCCAGATGGTTTTGATCCCTTGCAAACTATTTATCCAGATAGTGAAAATGAACATTCATCTGATTCTAATGAATCTAAAACTCTACATGTAAAAATTAATCAGAAAGATAAGCAGACTACTAACAAATCGACAGTAGTAGTGGAAGGAGAGGAAGAAAATAAAGCAACATTCACTATACAGCCACCACCACAGCAAGTAAAAGCGACAAATGTCCTTGATTTAGACATTGAATCTAATGGAAAAGATAACCAGATAACATTGATGAATGGAGAAGACAATGAAGTCCATGCTACTGAAGAACCAAAAGAGTCTCCACCTACACCACCTGGATGGGTTGACTTCGTTGACGACGATAATGCTGATAACAACGATTCTTCCAATGTTGAGGCTTTTAAACTTGATAAAGATGATATTGATAAAGCATTTGAAGTACAATGGCCACCAGAAGGGGAAGGTAAGGAGAAAGGTAAGGCGGAACCATCATACCCGGAACCTCCGAGACCAGAAACACCAGATCCTGAATTAGACATACCATTTCATCCATTCGTTAATACTGAAGATACTTGGCGTTTGTGGTTAAGATACCCAGAGAAGAAAACACGTGTCAAACAAATCAGCAAATATACAACCGACAGATACTGGCGTGAAGTGGCTATACGTTTGGTAGAAGAACACGGTCGCAAAGTGATAAACATTTATGGTATAGATGAAAATACAAATGAAATATTGCCAGAACCGTATAGATCAGTTCGTGTTGAACCATATATGCAGTTGTCAAGAGAGAAATTACAACAATACGATAAGTATGGTAAATTGCACGTCTTCAAACTGAATCATGTCTCGTACAAGGAGTTAGTCGGTATGAGGCCGGAGAAGTTTTCTATTAAAAATTTACAAAATCTGGTCAGTCATAAACCGAAGCAAAATATTACTCTCGATCACATACCGATATATACAGAGATATTGAAATTCGGTTCACTGGATCAGTCAAGAATTCGTAGGCTGATGCCAGTATTTGAAGATGCATTAATGAAGATACCGTCACATAAAGACACCTCTTTAAATTACAGTCGTGAAGAAGTTTGTTGTTACGTTGTAGATGAATATGAAGGTAAATTAAACGTTAACGGGACAATTGTTGAACAGAAGGCCCGTACTCGAGTATTTTGTACAGCATTTGTCAATGGTGGACCACATATTGTACTTGGATTAAATGATAAATGGCGTTTTGGTCGAGAAGTGGTGCGACGTTGTGATATCCTACCAGTAATGCATGATGAATGGATAAGTATACGTAATCCTGAATTCCATTCTTGTGTACAAATGGACGAATATGAAAAAGATCATATGTTACAATTCTTTCCATTAGATGGTTGTCGTTTTGAACTGTTACGATTTCGTGTTAGTCTACGTGGAAATAGAGAATTACCAATGCAAGTGAAAGTTACCTATACAATTGATGGACGTCGAGTTTCAATGCGTTGTGATTTATTAGTTCCAGGTTATTTCAGTGCTAGCAAACGATCTGGTGCTGTACCATGTGAAAAAGTTGAAATACATATACCATTTCCAGAGGAATGGATATATCATTTTCGTGTTGAAAAACACCACAAATATGGATCTGTACATTCTACATTACGTAAACCAGGTAAAATTAAAGGTCTTGAAAGAATTACACAAATGGCTCAAAGTCTCCTACCGCCTAGTATGCTGGAGGCAAGTATCGGTGTTGCAAAATATGAGCATCTATATAAGTCCATAGTTTGGCGTATACCAAGAGTACCTGAAAAGTCTGAAGGTAAGTCATTTTCAACTAGTGTATATTAGACTAAATTTTGAAAAGAAATATATATGGATATTACTTAAGTATTTCTAAAGTTAGACAGTCAATAAACATTTAGTTGCTGTACAATGCCAATAAAATTAAAAGATAGCGGCCTGAATTAACTACAGTTTATCATTTGAAGGATTCAGAGGGTATTTGAAATGAAATCACGATTCCATGGCACTTAGATTCTCTTTATGATGATATTTACTGCTTAGAAAATGAAACATTTTACAGTCGATGTTCAGAAATATGTTTTATACATACTATTACTGACAAAGATGCTATTCATTTGGGTTTGAGTTACCAGTTTCGTAATTAGTTTTGTATCATTTAGTTTTAAACTTAATAAACAGAATTAAATTGTTATGAACTATTTCTCAAGTCAAGAATCATCGATAACTAGTGACAACTGTAGAGTTTATGATCACTGGAGAGTACACACACAGGGCATCAAGTTCTGGATTATACATTGTGAGTACAGACTACTAAATAGTCCCCAACAAAGACGATACAGTTATGTATTACTTTCTAGGCTGTTAGCGGTTGTAGGGCTGTTGTCCACCAGTGAATAAAACTGTGTTAAACAAATTACTTTTAATCGTCTTATCACAGCCTACTGTGCGCTGTTTTAACCATCATAACAGTATAAAAGTATTGTTGGAGGCAATCGGTAGGAAGCCTTGGACCTAGGTTTCATGCTAGTTGGCACTCGTCAGCAAGGCGTATCTGCAACCTCGAAGGAACTCATGTCCCTACAGTCCTACAAAAGGTCAATCGCGAGCCCGAATAGCTCAGTGGTAACGTCTCTGACTGTCGCACCGGGTGACGCGGGTTCGAATCTCAGAAGGGACATGAGTTCCTTCGAGGTTGCAGATATGCCTTGCTGACGAGTACCAACTAGAACAAAACCTAGGTCACTTCCTGGATTGCCTCCAACCATCTAACACGAACAATTCACAGTGTACCGTGATGGCGAGGCACCTAGCATGGTGGCTATATTGCAAACTTGACTGATAGAATTCAGTCTGCACTGAAGATAGGACTAGACACATTACACTAGTTACTGACTAGTGTCCAATCAAAACTATAAAAGTATATTAGTTATACAATAGATGTTAGAAGTAGCACAAATAGGAGTTTTCATTCAACCAACGAATACAATATTTAATCTTGAATAGCGTGTATTTAAAATAAAAGAAATCCAAGAAAAGTCTATGAAGACATAAAACCTCTGATTCTAATTTGAAGTGATTATCACTCTCTTGGATTCGCAAATGCAATTCGCTGTTGTTGAGATTTCGCACTCAGTTATATGTTTTTAAGTAAATATTGTACAAATATTATTATTTATTTTATTCCTTTACGTTCCCAGTGGAACATAGGGCTTCAAGCTACAGCTTTGAAGTTTCGGTAGCAGTGGTGTTTATTTTTACGGAAAAAATTTTTTTTCAGAAAACTGAACTCCACATAAATACAAGTCTATCATCAGATATTTTACAAAGGAAGAATGAAGTAATCGATGCAGTTAACATACCTAATGTAAGCATTTCTGATAGACTGAAAACATGATGACAGGGTGTTTAATATTGTAAAGAGTATTTATAAGACTTTAACTACAGAGTAGTTAAAAATACTCAATAAGATGGCAGAAGAGCAACTTATTCAAATGTTTCCGTCATTGAAATATTCAATTTCATTCATGTGAACTAAATCTTAACATTAAGAAATCACAGTGTTGTCTCAGAATTTCATTTGCATTTAAATGAAAACAGCATTTTTGCAAACATACACAAATGAGGATTTTAGGGTATCCTTTTATTGTGAATCATATAATATATTTTTCCTTTTCATATGAACTGTGATCAAGATTTGACCGAATAGTTCCAAAATAATTGGGCGCCGAGTGAAAAGTAGACATTTGTAAAAAATTATATTTGTAAAATCTCAGCGAAATTGAAATGATTAATTCCAAAGTTTCGTCCGGCAATCTGGTCCGAACTTCTTCACGGAAATTAATCGAAATTAACATAACAGAGGTTTATTTATAAAAGGACATCTCTTGTTTTTAAAAACTTTGTCCAATCATATGAGTCATGAAACAGGTATCAACATGTATGATAAACAAAATTGTATGAACTGTGATCAAAATTTGACCTCAGACTTTCAAAATTAGTCTACTTTTGTTAAACAATTTAAACAGAGTGTACTTTTCATCAGATTACGTTAAACGTCGTAGATAACTGAATATGAAAATATATGTGTATATGCAGTATACAATGGTGTGTGCATGTGTGTGTGGGTAAACAGTCATAAAACATTTGTTAGCCTTTCCATAGGAAGATATAGACAATCGGGGATTTTGAACAAGTATTTATTACATTGAGGATTTCATCATGAGCTGACATCAGTTAGAGAACCACTGGAAAACCTGGGAGTACTGGACAGCTGTTTCGTCCTAGTTTGGGACTCTTCACAGTACGCACCCACCGGGGTTAGAACCTAGGACTTTCTGGTTACAAGGCGAGCTCGTAGACCATTGAGCTACTGGGACCCAATTCAATGGTCCTTGAATTCTAACTTCTGCCGATTCACGACATAGCGCGACCATTTCGCAATGTCTTCTTCGATGAGTTACTGCTTCATCTTCAACCAGAAGGTCCTGGGTTCGAATCCCGGTGGGTGCGTACTGACGAAGAGTCCCAAACTAGGACGAAACAGCTGTCCAGTACTCCCAGGTTTTCCAGTGGTTCTCTAACTGATGTCAGCTCATGATGAAATCCCCAATGTAAATCAAACAAAATCCCTACAAAACCAATACTTGAAAAAGTATTTATTAATCAGGATTCGCCATGCATCAGCTAACATCACACTTTCACGTCTGTTCAAATTGTTGGGATTCACCCATATATGCAAAGCTTCTGCAGTCAGTCTTTCTTTATACGAACCAAAACCTTTCTATAGAAACTTAGTCCTATCAAAGTCGACTTTGTGTCCCGTTTCTATCGAATGCAGTGCAATCGCTGATTTGTTTCCTAGCTTCTTTAAGTCTGCAGAGGTCTTTGGAACCAACTTTAGACACTGTTTATGCTCTTTCACTCTTATATTTATCTGTCTGGAAGTTTCTCCTACATATACAGCGTCACAGTCCCCATAATTGACCTGGTACACACAATTCTGTTGGTTTTCTTCTATTTTATCCTTAACCTTCACCAGTGATGAGCGTAAGGTGTTAGTTGCACGAAAATACACTCTTATGTTATAATCGTTAAGGATTCGCTTTATCTCATCAGATGTTTCTTTGTGGTAAGGAATCACCGCTGTACTAACCCAAATCTTAGCAACAGGTTTCGATCCATCCTTATCTTCACATTTTAAATACCTTTTTATGAAGGCTTTAGGATAATTATTTGATTCAAGAGTGGGTTGAACCAATTTTAGTTCCTTGCTAATCTCTTCCTCCTCAGTAACTAGACGTTTGGCTCTGTTAATCAGATTCTTGGCCACAGTTACTTTGGTGGTAAAGGGGTGTGCTGAATAGTAGTCTAGATATCTGTCCGAATTTGTCGGCTTTCTGAAAATGTTTATTTTAAATTTACCAGCTAGTTTTCTTTTTACTAAACAGTCCTATTGTTTAATTTTTTCTTTCAATGTTTTAGCCTCATTTCGTCCTCATTTATTAACCTGTAATTTGGTATTGGCTGCTCATGATACAGTACCTGAGTGGGAAACGCTAGTTCCACATTGTCAAGTTGAATATAGTATGCCATCAAGTACAGTGTCCGGTGCCACAGTACGTTCAATTAGTGTAGAGCATACAGGAAATGTGGAGAAATTTGTAAAATATCTAACAAAATATAAATATACAGTGGACATTGATTATCAGTTGGGTAGTCGAAAAGAACCCGTTATAAAATCTCTTCTAGACGATGACACACCAGTTGAATATGAAAAATCAAGTGAACAAAGACAAACGAATCGTCAGTATGATGAAATTAGCCTTGATAACAGCAACAACAACAACAACAACAATGATGGTGATGATGTCGTAGATGATACTCAGACATCACTTAAATCTAATGAAACAGAGGCTAATCAAACAGGTCCCACAGAGTTCGGTGACCTTTTAGGCCTGGGAACAGATTTCGGTGCAACGTCAGAACAAAAATCAGAGCAAAGCGCACCAGTTAACACTGATGATATTTTCTAAGACTACTATAATTGTACTCACCTTGTTCCTTTCTGTTATTCATCAACTTGTTTATAAAACCTCAGACATTAATTATCACACAGAAATATATAACTTATTGCATTTTAGACAACAGAGTTCGGAATTTAAACAATCCTCATTCATTAAACAAAAAACAAATCATTTTCAAACTAGTCATTTCATGACTGGACAATACACAAATTCATGTATACTTCTGGTTTTTTCAACATAACTTTTCATACTACTCAATAGTTATAGTTAGTAGTTACATGTTGTTGCATAATATTCACAAATATTCAAGAGCCTCAGATCACCAATACTACGTGACTGAAGTATTTTGTAATTCGATATATATATGTATGTACTTACATAAGCTTGTTAGTAGGCATTTGACTCACAATCATGTATATTCAACTAAAGTGTTAGTTTCCACCCTTCCCTCCTGCCTGCACTACAAGTTATCACAAAATATTTTACAACTATGTTATCATTATTGTTATTACTATTATTAGTAAAATACACTACTCTTTACTTCCTACTCATAAACCTTGTACAATACGATGTCATCATGAATTGATGTTATAATGAAATTATGTAATCAGTCCCAGGCAAAGCCCTTCTGTGATAGCCTGTACGATTATCAAAGTGACGAATTACAAAAATGTCTCTATCTCTCTCATCTACTTCTCATTGTTATCACAAAGACCATATTAACCATAATAACAGTTATCCATGAGTTCATTCATGCATACGCATAGCATAATACATTTAGTTACGCGCACAAATTTATATCAGTAAAGAAAAATGTATATTACAGGTGAATATTATTATTATTATTACTATTTTTGTCTTCATGGACAAATAACACATCATTTTATTTATCCTTGGATTTACTTTCTAATCTGTTTAAACACAAATGATAAATTTGGTTGCATGGATGTCTTCTTTTTCTTTTATATCAAAAAATGTTCAAACATCCTACTGACAATCCATTTTTTTTGTTGAATTTCTCTCTCTCCAAGTCTTCATGTTGCATTAATTCTGAATTATTATCAAAAGAAAAGTCTATTAACCTTTAAATGTAATCAGGTTTTTACATTTGAAGACAGTATTTATCTACTTTTAAGTAATTAAATTATCTTGAGAAGATATCAACTTGTACTCTTTACCGGTTATTAATTATTATTATTATTTCTCAGCACAAGTCAATGGATAATGTCGAAGAGAATTTACTATCTAACACTACTTATTACAAAATGTTACGAATATTATATATATTTAAATAATAAATATAATTTTATGTGCCTGTCGTTAATACTATCCTTTTCAGTGTTGTATTTAAACAAATTAGTATAGGTTAACTATTGAAATCTTGAATTGATTCTAAGTCAGTAGATAACTTCATTCTAAAAATTCTCGCATTAATATAAACGTAGCGAACCTGAAGCTTGAAACGATTTAAAAAGTTACAACTAACCACTGACTGGTTGCGTTGAATCCTGGTATTTACTAACTTAACAACCTCTAGCTCAACTAATCACTATGTATATTGCATGCAACCAGCTGTAATTAATCAGAATGTAAAGTGACCGTTAATCTGACTAAACAATTAAAAACAATTAGTTCCTTTTATGAATTTAGACGAAGCAATAAGAATACGTAATTTATCTGAATCGTGTAATGTATTTGCGCACAACACATTTCCCACAATCTGATCACTCACGGACTTGTCATTGGAATATATATGAAATTAATAAGGAGTTAAGAGGTGAGAAAACAAATTTAGGTCAAGTTAAAAGGACATATTGAAGGTGAAAATAACAATGAATATCACTAAACCAAATAACAGAGGTAATAGTACATCTGTTGTAGTATGAAAACAAAGTTTACCAAGGAAGGTAGGTTTAGTGTGATGACGAATTGTTTTTGAATGCATAAAGGTGATTTAAATTTCCTAACTCCCAGTAAGGGCTTCGACAAACTTTAGGATACGCCCCAAACACGTTTTATAGATAGGTTTAAAAAACGTAAACATCAATTTTATCTCCTGTCTCTATAGTGTGTTTCTCAATAGAGGAGCTGGGTCGTCTGTTCTCACCATAAATGGGTTCTGAGGATTCTATTTGCTTCTGAAGACATTTAGGATTATGCTCTGAAGCCCTTACTTGAAGAGATAGATGAGTCCTCCTTATGTATGTGTGGCCACACGTACAGAAGTAAATAGAATCCTCAGAACCCATTTATGGTGAGAACAGACGACCCAGCTCCTCTATTGAGAAACACACTATAGAGACAGGAGATAAAATTGATGTTTACGTTTTTTAAACCTATCTATAAAACGTGTTCGGGGCGTATCCTAAAGTTTGTCGAAGCCCTTACTGGGAGTTAGGAAATTTAAATCACCTTTATGCATTCAAAAACAATTCGTCATCACACTAAACCTACCTTCCTTGGTAAACTTTGTTTTCATACTACAACAGATGTACTATTACCTCTGTTATTTGGTTTAGTGATCTTCATTGTTATTTTCACCTTCAATATGTCCTTTTAACTTGACCTAAATTTGTTTTCTCACCTCTTAACTCCTTATTAATTTCATATATATTCCAATGACAAGTCCGTGAGTGATCAGATTGTGGGAAATGTGTTGTGCGCAAATACATTACACGATTCAGATAAATAACTAAACAACTGAAAGATTATTTGTCTACGTAGTTCATTCTTCAATTATTTACATCAAACTGTATATACTAATCATTTGATAAGTAAGTCGATAACATTCAAACCAGAGCTCCGTCAGACTAAAGTCACCTAAACACCATAAGACAGTCACATGCATCTGAATTTGTGTCTATTAAATGTATCTTGGGCTGGTGAACTGTTTATTCCACGCGAATTACCATCGGCAAGTTTGTCGGATTGACAGCACATGAAAAGAGATCAAGTACTTACGCGAACAAAAGGTCCTACTAGAAATTCTGCCAGACATACTTTAAGGGGGCTGAATGTTTGTTTCAGTGAAGAGGATCTTTCTGGCGGATTCATTTATCTTTAGCTGTGCAGTCGCACTTATGTACAACTTTTTCACAAAAGAGGACAGTAACAAAAGTGATGACTTGTCATAATCATAGTTGCTAATATTAATCAATGTATAACGGGAGTTGAATAAGGGTATTAGAGTTACGTAGTAGAATAAACAATCTAGTTAATTTACTATAGTTCGGTTTGTAAGGGTTTGTTATGTTTTTACGAGTTGATCACGGATTGATATCAGTTAGAGAACCATTGAAAACCTGGGAGTACTGGACAGCTACTGTTTCATCCTAGTTCGGGAATCATCGGCAGTACGCACCCACTGGGATTCGAACCCAGGACCTTCCGGGTACAAGGCAAGCTCGTATAGCATTCAGCCACTGGGATCCGATTCAATGGCCAGTCCATGAATTCTAACTTCTACCAATTCGTGATTTAGCGCAACCCCGACCATTGTCGTTGGTGGGACATCCATCCTCACACGTGAAATCTGGATGCTCGCTAGTGACTTGCTACAGGATGGAGTTTCCTGGAGTTCTGGTGAGAAGTCGTAACCGGTGAGGTCCAATTAGATGTCACGTGTGTGGATGGATGTCCCACCAACGACACTGGTTGGGGTCGCGCTAAATCACGAATTGGTAGAAGTTAGAATTCATGGACTGGCCATTGAATCGGATCCCAGTGGCTGAATGCTATACGAGCTTGCCTTGTACCCGGAAGGTCCTGGGTTCGAATCCCAGTGGGTGCGTACTGCCGATGATTCCCGAACTAGGATGAAACAGTAGCTGTCCAGTACTCCCCGGTTTTCAATGGTTCTCTAACTGATATCAATCCGTGATCAACTCGTAAAAATCTAGTTAATGAGTTGTAATCAGAATGAGCATAGAAACGAAGGAAATTGTGATACCACGCAATAGTTCAAAATGATTACAAGAATTATAAAGGGTTAAAAATAATAAACGAAACTCAAGTTGGTTGAAAACAACAAGGTTTTTACCATGATAGGAGAAGTGGTAGAATGATTCTCTTTTTTGTACAAAGCTCCGGTTTCTTGTCTTTATTAATGTTCAGATTAGGATTATTCATTTAATATATTTGAAACCACGTATGATTTGAAGGCTGATAACACAGGCAAAGTAACATTTCCATCTATGTGACAATCGTTGTAATAAGTAATTACATCTCCTAGACTTCCTGTTAACCTCACTTGTAACAGTTTAACCATTCTCCGAACGTGAACAAAGCTACCGGTTACAGAATGGGCTAGCAAAATCTTCGTGATACTAATTTAAAGCCTAAAAAACCTCTGCTGAGGTCAAAATGCATAGTGGATTGAAAAAGACCATACCCAAGCTGTTGTGTCCAGATAAATCAATATTTTTTCTCGAAATTCTTGTAGAAATAATTTAGTTCTCACTTTCCATACAAAATGCTCTAGTGTTTTAGTCAATTTTCAAAGTAAACTCAAACATTTTTTTTACTGCAATTGGATTATCGCCTACAATGTGTTCTTGTTCAGCAGTTTAGCTCCTTGTTAAATGTTTTACAATTATACAAACCAGAATAACGGTATAGATAGTAGCTCAGATGTATGTCGATGGAATTTAACATGAACCACAGCAACATGGCAAGAAGTTATCGAAAGAATTGGGAAGATATGAATGCTAGAAGGAGGGGAACTATCCGAAAAGAGGCAGATGATTCTGTACTGTGACGATGAGACTGGCGAAAGAACAACAGAAAACGAGCAGAAACTGATTACATAAGCTCTTTCTAATTTCTTAATTATCACAGAAAAGCACATAATTCCCTTTAACCAATGTTATTGTAAAATATATCAAGTAAGAAGAATGGATTAAGTCAGATAGATCCGTGTTACACTGTTCTGATGCTGGTTAGAATTCTAATTCTAATCCGTGTGTTTGAGAAACACTGGTATTTTCTAACAACACCCTGAACATACCCAG